TCTCTATGTAGAAGATCAGTGGTCTGACAGCAGAACAGAGCTGGACTGAAACACATCCAGATGGTGGAACAGAACTCTGTCCATGGTGCTGATGTCCTGCAGAGGCTGCACCTCCATCCTGGAGCCTCCATCATCCCTCCTTTATGATCCAAACCTTCTCATCATAAAGAGTTCAATGATGCAGCAAACACTCTGATGTCTGCTTTATTCTCAGCTGAACAATCAGACTGAATCCTAACAAACCATAGAGGAGGAACAGTGTGTGAGGCCCTCTAGTGGATGTTGTGGAGTATTGCAGGTTCTTGTACAGAGTTCTGGTGTTTCCTGTCACTGTGGGCCTCACAGCACAGTAGTACACAGCAGAGTCTGTCTCTGCAGCAGAGGAGATCAGCAGGTCCATCTGGGTTTTATCGTCATTAACTCTGAATGAGAAACCAGGAACTGGATCCTGGAGTTTATCTCCTGTTCCTGAATGAGAGACCAGGTACTCTGGAGGTTTTCCAGGATTTTGTCGATACCAGAAGATATAATCACCATAAGCAGCACTCTGAGAGTAAGTGCAGGACAGAGTAACAGAGTTTTCCTCTAAAGATGACTCCTCAGACTTTGTTGCAGTGAGATGTTGACAGTTTATACCTGATGGGAGAAAAACTGAATTAACCAAACATGAAAAAACTAAATACACATTATTCTTTCTTAATGAGTCCAACTAACCTGTTCCTATAAGCAGAACCAGCAGAGTAAATCCAGATGTGAGCAAAGACAGCATGATGATCAGAGTTAATGTTTGAACTGTGTTGAATGTGGAAGTTTGTGTCTCTTCTATAGTTCAGTAACAGCTCAGCTCCTCCCTGAAGCTCTCAGCTCCTCTTCCTCCTGATTAACAGACTCACAGCTTCTTTTGATTTCGGCCACAAGATTCTTTTTTAATGTATTTTTATTTGTTTGTTTTTTTTGTATACTAGACCCCCGTAGATTTGAGTGAAGCTGGTTTGAGGCAGGTGGTTTTCTCCAGGGCTCTAGCCCTGGACAATCACTTTTTTTTTAACATTAGATTAAAACCAGATTAGATTAATCACTTAATCACATAATTCACTATATTTTCTCTCCTGCTTTAAACTATGATTTGGATCAATTGGATGATATTTAATAAATATTTATACTTAGTCACTCATCAGGTATTGATTGATTGACTTTATTTATCTCACAGTGGAGAAATATGCTTGTTACATCATCTCAAATAGTCAAAACAGAGAAGAAGAATGTCCCAAAGGAAGAAAGAGGTGCATTGGATATATACAGTGTGTCCACGTATGACAGCTTTTTTTTATTGCAGAATTATTATACAGGGTTATTGTGCAGGGTGATTACATGGGTATTTATATAGATTGGTATTTATAGTTATTGCACTGGGTGTCAAATATACAGAAACGGGTTACTGCAGAGGCTAATAATTTCTAATTGCCCATTATACATGGCACAAGTTACTGCTGTTGTAGGGTTGCATTGTAGAGTCGCAGCAGGGATGAACGGTAGCGCTCCTTTTTCCAAACAGGCTGTAAAAGTCCTTGACTAAAGGAGCTGCTCAGCTCCTCTACAGTCTGCTGCAGAGGGTGGGAGGTGGCGTCCATGATGGATTAAAGCTTGGACAGCACCCTCCTCTCAGCCACTTCCTCCACTGAGTCCAGAGCGCAGCCTAGGACAGAAATGGCCTTTCTCACCAGTTTGTTCAGTCTATTTTTTTCTCGCTCTGCACCGCCAGGGGCCCAGCAGACGAGAGGAGGGCTAATGCCACCATAGAGTCATAGAAGGTTTCAAGCAGGGGCCTGCTCACTCCAAAGGACCTCTGCCTCCTCAGGAGGTGGATGCAGCTCTGGCCCTTCTTAAACAGGGTGTCAGTGTTATGAGTCCAGTCTAGTTTATTATTGATGTGAACTGACATTACATCTAATGTCATTTATAAAATCTTGCTTATGAATCATTGCAGTGTTGTCAAAATCCACAACATCATGAATTTTCAAATTAGGAAAGACATTTTTGCCCTGAACTGATTCTAATTTCTATTATTCATTGTTTGGTTTTTATTTATAGGAATTATAGTAACTGATTTAGTACTTTAGTTGCTGCTCATTGTGTAAAAGCAATACCAAATATGGAATGTGTTTTTTTATCAGGCGTCTACATCAGTAGTAGATTATCCCATTTTCTAAATTCTGTTTCACTGCTGCTCCCCTGAGGTCTGGTCACCTGACTTAACTCACCTGTAAACTAATGTTATTAGAACAGGAAACTTTACAATGAAGCGAGCTGAACATAGCTGGATTACTCCCATCCTATCCAGTTTAACCAATCCACATCAATGACAGGATCAGTGGTACCACCAAGCTGGTTATAAACTAGCTAACTCAACCCAGCTTTGACTGCAGCTTTTAGATGCATCCCTGTTCCAACACAGCTGAATAAAATGACTGAATTACCTTTTCAGAATGTCATCAAGTTTGTAAAGACCTGGTAACAAACCATTCATTTAGTTAAGCTGTGTTGGAGCAGGTATGCATCTAAAACATGCAGGACAGTAGATCTTGAGGACCAGAGTTGGAGACCACTGGTGTAGAAGATCAGTGGTCTGACAGCAGGACAGAACTGGACTGAAACACATCCAGATGGTGGAACAGAACTCTGTCCATGGTGCTGATGTCCTGCAGAGGCTGTACTTCCATCCTGGAGCCTCCATCA